TATATTTGAGCAAAAAATCTTCGATTTATACGGATTGAAGAAACAAAAACAATCATAGTTGATGTAGTTTTATGAACCGGATAAAGCAAACCAACAATAAATAAATAAAAAAAGGTTCAATTGAAATCAATTGTAAAACACAACAGCTCCATCTAAAGACCACCATGCTTTGTTTCGGATCTTTCAAGGAGAAGCTTAAGAGGCTTCTAATAATTATCTTTGTTCATACAATCTATTGAGCAATAGAGGCCATCCATAGTTTCGTAGGAAAAAATGAAATACAGAGGGAACCTACAACGAGAGCCACAACAAGAGCATAGTGGTCTAGTATTTTGATCGTTAAGAACCGCTTCGATCTTCCTCGTCTCCTCGTTGCACACGACTCCCGGCTTGATGTTCCATGAGTCTCCAATTACGCAATCAATATGGCACACAACCGCACAATAATAGCATGTATAGAACCATTTTTTAGGATTTGTTTCGGCTTCACATATCTCACACCAGTATTTACTACTAGTCGCATTCTCATTACCAGAGCTCAAAAACAAAAAATGCTCATCACACTTGTGCTTTATCACTACTGGTAGAGTAGCACAACGAAAATCCAAGATATACTTACATTCTATGCAACCAAGCACATAGGCGCTAGTCTTGTCGCAAGCTACGCAATCAGCACGGTGTAATGTGGTAAGGAATAATGTGTGGGGGTGAAGTTTTCGGTGCCGGAACCAAGAGAGCGACGCACAATGCACATCTAGTACTATACGATTACCATCAGAATATCGAAAACCACTTGCATCTCTTCCACACGCTGCACAATAAAACAAAATATCGTCCTTCTCCTTACCGGTTGAAAGAGAAAGTATACGTGTGGAAAGTGCATGTCGTTTTTGAAGAGGAAGATTAGCACATTCTTCATGAAGCATAAAATCGCATTCCATACAATTGTAATACCTCTCAGAAAAGATTGGATGGCAGCAAGCTTCACAACGTATCCCTTCACCACCATCAATGAGAACATCCTCAATAAGAAATAAGTTGTGTTCCTCATGGGAGAAATGATTTATTATCCCTTCATCGATCACTTTGAACGGCACAGTGTCTACTTCTTCCTCAGGTATCCCTTCGAGTTCTATCCCATCCCACACATCTTTTCTAGTTGCACATCTCGAATGAACGAAAAAATCTTGATATTTGGTGCATGAATAAGCTCCGTACCTCCAGTTGATATCTTGACGACAGATTTCACATATCCGATCCCCAGGACTGAGAGGATATGCATGCGATACGCGATGATCGTGGCGATTGATGTTTATCACGTGTGGTAGATCAATACAATCATAATGAAACATGAGAGAGCATGGAAGGCATACATAAGGGTTTCGTTCACCATGCGTACCACAAGCGTTACACGTGAAGGATACTTCTCTCCCCATGAGGGTGAGTGCATGGTCGTGGCACTTTGGATGCTCCACTGTTAGGGACTGCGGGTTCTTTGCGCAACTCATATCCACCGTAAAATCGCATAATTTACAATGGTAGACAAAGTTCGTGAGTTTCTTTCGACAGAGGCTACAAATCCCATCAGAGTAATTAGCTGGCCCTTGGAGGAGAAGCTCGAGAGGATGACTTGGATGGCAAGGGTGGTTAATATTCTCCGGTGAGCTTGGAACGCAAGAGGGATGCCATTCCACCCTGCATTTGTGGCAAATGTATTGACAATGAGTTTCTTTCGAGTATGCGATGGCAAAGTACTTTGAGTCTTCAATCCAGTTGTCGCACCCGATGCACTTTTGATCAATACGCTTAGTAGATATCTCATCTATTTTGTGTTCGTGCCAGAAGTAGTCCATATGATGAACAAGGCGCCGAGGAAAGGTGAGAAAAAGGGAAAAGTTTATTTTCTTTTTTTTGGTTAAAAAAAGGCTTCACTTCAAAACTTAATTGAATTCCCTGTAATGGATTCATATATAAATCACTCAAGTTAATCATCATAGCTGTACGCATTTAATCGCACTGGTTTAGTCTCTTTTATAAAGGCTCTATGCAATTTTGAATTTTCTATTACACCGAGAAAAGGGGATCCAAGTGGTTTATATGACAAAGAGGTTGTTGAGAAGGCCAATCAATTTTCCGACCAAAACAAAAAAGAGGGCCGATGAATTTGACTAAATCTTTCTTTTCACCAAATTATTAGAATAAACGCTCATACATATATATATAAAAATGGTCAAGTTGATCACTTTTTTTTTTATTAATCCAAGCTGTTGATCATACGATTAGGTCATTAGTTGTAAGGAATCAAATAACTAAGCATAATGTTTTCATTCTTAAAGACCAACGACAAATTTATGAATATTATAAGCGACCAGAGAGATGTTATTATACAACATTCATTCATGGTTTCCATGACATTTTTTTCTTAAATACAAAAGTAATTATTTATTTTCACTCTTAAGAGGTTACTAGATGAACACCCGCGTATACACGCAG